TCCGCAAACTCTAAACGGTTTAGCTATTCTCTAAGGATCATAGTCTTTATATACTTTTTTCTAATTATGCTCAATAAATACATGGCTTTGTATACAATGACCTAAAAATTCGGGCAAAGTAAAGGCAAAAAATAATAAAAAAAGTCACCCCACATACATAACCCCTTGTGAGAACATTACGAAATACCCAATGGATAATAGTCCTATTCACCTCTATTTACGTTTTCAATTGATTTACAGAGAGAAATATGTGATAAGTATCCCATGACAACGACTTTGTCAGATAGCTCTCGGTAAGAATTGGGATTTACCTCAAAATGGGTTTTTTAAATTTATTTTAATTATTTCAAGTTCTAGTAAGGTTGTACTATTTAAGATCGAAATTCGTAACTTTTTCATAAATTTTTTCTCTCTCTTCATATTTTTATCCACACCTGTCATAACCTGATAGTAAAGAAAATTGGAATTTTAGGCATGACGAAGAATATTACCCAGCAACACCTCTTCCTGGTCTTGATTTGCTTTCTTTTTGGAAGATATTTGGTTTTTGATGCCTCATTCATCAAAATCCATTGCTTCTAAAAGCCGGAAAAGTGATATATTCTACCATATTTTAATGTAAATAAAAAACTTGATTTCATTCAGTCTAGTGACAGTTTCTAAGAAGTTTTGAAATTGGAATTTTTATAGCCCCTGCTATTTTTTTTTTTTTTTTTGTGCTGTTATAACAAAGTTATTGTTTATTATACCTTATTTATAAAAAACTAAATTTATGTCACGTAAATAACTTTTTTACAAATCTAAAACTTGTATAGATGCCGTAACATATTCTACCATATGGTTCAGTTTTTACTTACATCATCCCGAGGAGCTGTAGGCCGGCCTAAGGAAGAAAGTGTATTATGGGCTCACACGCTGAGTTAGCCGCACAGCTTGAATAATACCAGTCCCTGGCTTTTAGAGTAAGTGGCTGTCCCCTGGGGGTCGTGTCAGGCCCCCCTTTCTTGGCCCCCTTATATACCTCTCTTAAAGTATATAATCTATTATAGTCGCTATATACTCACTATTACTTTATATGATTGGTCTTTTTACTAACGTATTCTAATTCTAACTAATTGTAATTTTAAATAAATAGTTTTTTTTTAATAATATCCTTAAAAACGTCTGTAATTCATTGATTTAAAACATATTAATTTATTAACAAGACAAAATAAGGTTGTTCGAAACATTAGACGGTATTGCTAAATAAGGAAAATACTATACCTGAGTTATAAATCTCACTTTAGACAGCTATGTTTCTCCCTTACGCATATGACGCACAGTGGTTCAAAACACCTATTTTTTGAAAAATTAACTTCGCCCACCTTGGACATACCATTTTAAAGCTCAAATAGCGGTCATTTTATATGTATTTTTCATTCTGGATCGTATGAAACAAAAACTAAATAGATAGTTTTACGCGTTTTGTTACTTTGACTGTATTATGTTTTAAATTTATAAAAAAAATCTGAATAAAATAAATCTAATATTTCAAGTTAACATAATTGGAAAAAATTTGAAAGACTAGAAATATTCAAGTAAATTTGGCTTAATAAATGTTTAAATATACAGGTTCATAGTAATTTCAGAATATGGAACTAAACTTTCAAGCTTTTTTTTTTTTTTTTTTTTTGTAAGCACATTCCCTGTTGAAGAAATATATTTTAAAATTATTAATACCGTTGTATTTTATGATTTTTTTACTAGATTATCCTCTTAAAATCATTATTTGAACAAAGTATAGCTTTGATCTCGGTTGAGAATTGTTATTTTATTTTTAATATTATTTTATTCATTTTTTTTTTTTCAAATTTATTACATTTCCAGACAAGTTGGATGGAAAAATTTCAACCTGAAAAAAATATGATAGAATATTTTACTGATAGAGTTACTAAAATTTCAAACAATTCTAAATAAATTACTTTTTAGGCTAGAAAAATATAATTTACTGATTAAATATTTTTAAAATCAATATAAACTATACCACTGAGAGGAAAATTTCTCATTAATTTGTGTTAATTTTAAAACGATAAATAGTGTTGACCAAATGCGAGACCGAATCTTGCAGTTACTTATTAACTTATTACTATAGAGATATTACTGTAATTTTTCAGATAGGAGAAACCTAACTAAGCCTAAATGAAAAATTAGAGGAGTTAAATGCAATAGTATATTGGTTATACCAATTATTAACATAGATAGATAGATAGTTTATTTTATTTGTCTAAGGAAATTCCTGTACAAATAAATATAATGGTATAATTAACAATGGTAGATCTTGAGTCTAGTACTGCATTCAAACATAACATTAACAATGCCCACAGCATTAAGTATGACTAATATAATAACAGAATAGTAAACGATATATATATATATACACACATAACAATTAGTAAAACTTTTTTTTTTCCTTTTTTTTCAATAATACATTTTTTTTTTTTAATATTCGAGAGGTATAAGACAAATGACAATATAAATTAGCATTAATATATGTTGTATGATTAACTATACCACTTAACGGTTCAATGAACAGCCCTGTATGAAATAATACAGTTGGTTTATTTTTTTCATAGTGTCTATTTTCAGTATCTCCTCCACACTAGCATCTTTTCTGGATTCAGTGATAAATGTCTTCAAGTACTTATTTCTTGGCTCATTGAACTTGATACATCTGATCAGAAAATGAGTTACCGGGTCAGTTATAAGGCAGTTGCATGCACCACATACCTCACTAGATTTAATAGTCAAAGTAGCATCTTTTAAGTATATTTTCATAAAATCTTTACTTGCTACTCTGAGACGACTAACGGCTCTTAATTTGTTTAAATTCAGAGCACTGAACTGAAGATATTCCTCTGGTCTGGTAACATTAAAGGAGCAGTTCTTTCTATATCTTAGGTTTGATTTAGAGTTTAACACTCTGTCGATGTCCTTGGATGCGTGATGTTTTCTTATTTTTTCCATGATTTCATCTTGGAATCTCATCAGACCTTGGGAGAAAACACACGAAAACAGCCCCTGACATCCCAGTTCCGCCACAATCATATTTACTTGGATAACATAGTTATCCAATTATTAACATATCGTAACTAAAATTGTCGAGTATTAGTAATTATTTATTTCCTTGATTTTTTTTTGTCTATAAAATATTTATTTGCGCCTGTCAACAATAAGTTAACAATCAGCAAATGTGATGGCGATAATGATATAATGACATGACAGGCATGGGGAAGGAAAGTACTCAGCAGTACCTCTTCCCTAACTTGTTCCAATTACTTAGGTTGTCTAAGGAAGGAGATCTCTCATCCAACGCCTTTTTAGTCTCCTCCTCATGTTCTGATGTATGTCAGCTGTGGCCATGTCTCTTATAAGTCTATTATTATGTCCATTTAAATTTGTGTAAAATCGTTGATATAGGGTCGTTATATGTTGGTCAACTGTTGGAAAGTAGAGGTCAGTATGTAGAGTTTTGTTAGTCAAGTACCAAGTGTTTTTGTTATGAGTCGCAATAATTTTGATTGGAACGTTTGAAGTTTTTGTAGGTGGGTCTTTTTAGCAATGCCGTATATTTGTGATGAGTATGTCCATATGGGCTTAAGTAAGTATGTATATGTATTCAGTTTCTGTTTTAGTTTTAGTTTTGAAGAGTTGGCAAAAAGAGAGTAAAGTAGTTTGAGTCGTTTGTTAAGTGTCATACGTTTCATTTTAACATGTGGACCCCATGTCATCCTTCTGTCGAAGGTGAGTCCAAGGTAAAGTACCGTTTCCGTTTGAGGAATTTGATTGTTGTCAATATAGACTGGAGGGCAGGTGTTTTTTCGAAGAGTAAATGTTATATGTTTGGATTTGTCATGATTAAGTCGAATTTTCCATAGTATGAACCAATCTTGTAGTTTAAGCAGGTGATGTAGAGTTAGTGAGGCCTGTGTAGGGTCTTGATGTTTTGTGAGGATTGTTGTATCGTCTGCATATGTAGCTGCCAAGATCTCCTTGATTTTTTATTTTAAAAATCGGTTTTTTTTTAACATTCTTGGTCTTGATCTTGCAACAGTTAGGCGGCCTTGGTCTTGGTCTTACACTTTGATTTTGGGCAACACTAGCGATAAATAGTGAGATACTGGAGAAAATAGTTATTGGACTAAGCTTTAGATATGTTAAGAAAAGATAATATAGCACAAAAATTTTAACTGGAATACTTTCATTTTTTGGTTATTTTTTTTCGCCTCTGAACTAATTTGCTACGCAGTGTGTTACCTATTTTGAATTTATCGAGAGGAAAACTAGAAGTCATGTTATTGACAGTAAAATATTTTCTTCTCATCCATAAATGAGTATTACCGTATTCTTAAAAATTGAAAGAAATTTAATCACTTATTGAAATATCCTTATTTTGCTATGTAAACTCAGAAAAAAATAAATTTAATGAAATGTTTAAGTATAAAACATAATTTCTTTATATTGTTTAAATTTATTTTATTAAGGCTAATAAACCACCCAGAGCCTTAATTAAAACTTTTATTCTCGACCATTAAAAATCGGTATTGGCTTCCGTAAAATGGTCCATAAATTCAGCCTCGTGGCTGTTTCACGACTTACAATCTCAGCTTTGAAATATGTTATTTTTTCTATTATTGAAAATAAGCCCCATTGAAGTTTTTATGGACCCTATTTTTTTATTAAGTATTATAATGTTCAAGAATAAAACTGTAATTACTTTAGATACGCATATGTATAATAATCAAGTCAAATAAGTAAAATATACATTTTTTAGTTGGCTTTACAGATTTTATAGATCTCAGGTTTATTAATATCAACAAAGGTGTATTATCTATTATGGAGTTGTATTATATCGTATATTATCATATGATCTAGTGGTATAATATAGTAATGCTTAATATTACTTCACTATTTACATATCATGGTATTTAAACATCCCTCTAATGTTTTGAAATATTTTTCAGTTACCGCAGGTGGAAGCGAATGGCCAAGACGCCATTGGGAGAAGATTCAGGGTTGAAAGTGGAGATTCCATCAGTGGAAAAGAAGAGGTGAGTGGATCTGTTTTTCTAATACAGCTTTTTATTTAGTGATAAATAAACTGATAAACTCTTTTAATGGTTTCATAATAAAATATCTTCACTGAATTACAATGATTTTCTTATATTTATGAAGGGTTTAAGTTAAATGCAATCAAATAGATTTTTAATATTATTTTTATTTTCTCAGGTTGTAGTTAAACTTCTTAATTCCTAGTCGAGTAGATAGTAATTACTACTAATGTTTTCTTTTTCTTTCCAATTCACTGTTTAATTATTTTGCAACGAAAGGGTGTACCCCCTCTTGCAACTTCATTAATTAACAGTTGAGATAAAAGCTGAACAAAATAACAAGATAGAGCGGAAGTTTTAAGGGGCTTAAGAAGCGCAAGAAAAAGAGTGTCCATTTATCTCTTTAAGTCTCATAGATCCAAGTCACTTCATTTTCGCTGGTTGATTAGTCGTTACTTTATTTAACAAGGAGCTGCTTTTGATCGTCTTGATACATCAAATAGATACTAAACGATTTGTGATTAATAAATTATTTATGTAATAAAATCAAGATTTGAAACAGTTATTTTTTGGTTTATTATTTTCAATAGTAAACCATTGTGATCGGCCAGAAAATTCAAAAACTTAACCCCCTCACAAAATTTGAGGTTTCACGTTTCAAAATGCGTAGAATTCGAAAAACAAATAAAAATGCTGTCCGTCAGCCGTCCGTGCATTTTCTCTGAAACTACTCGACCGATTTTTTTCAAATTTGGATATAAAATCAGAGGTCACCCGAGGATGATCCTCCTTCATCGACATTATTATCCGCCGTTTACTTTCAAAATGGCCGGCGAAAAACCTGCCTTGCTATAGATTGTAGCGCCTAAACGAATGTAGCGATTTCAATGAAACTTCGCTAAAGTCATTTTCTCTACGCCCTTTAAATTTATCTATATAATATACTTCTATATATAATAACGAAAAGAAGCTGGAAAAAAAGCTACGGGGGATGGTAAACTCAAAAAGTATACTCTTTTGTGAAGATGTTGTATTATGGTTTTTTAAAAGTTTACAAAATTTCCTAAAAACCAAAAAAAAAAATCGTTAAAATTGGACAATTAGGAGCAAAGATATGGTCTCCGGTTTTTTTTTTTATATGTTCTACTCCAAATGTTATATACTTTGTTTGGATTTTAAATTTTGAATGTGTTACTGAAGTAATGCCATTTTTTTTTTCAGCATATTACTAATGATTAAAAAAAAAAAGTTTAGTCTAAAAATTGGAATAACCTTTTATTTATTTTTCTTTGTAACTAGAAGGTAATGTTACTTTAGATGTATAATTGTTTGGAAATAAAAAACTATTGTGGAATAATTTGCAGCTTTTTTTTTTAATGAGTTCAACTATAACTGTTAAATCTTTTATTGATTATAAGAGGTTAAAGATAAAAGTTTTTTTCAAAATTGTGAAATAACCGTAGCTTAAAAAAAATACTTTATTAATACATATATAAACATCATAAAAAATATTTTTTAAACTGTTACTTATTCTCTCTAAAATAAAACTTGCAAATGATAATAGAAGTTCGTAATTAACAAACTGCTCAGTACTCTGAGTAGAAAACTAATAAATTATGGCGATCCTTGAAAATATTTCAATGTTAACTTTGTTATGCAGTCCAATGTTTTATTGGTTATCATAATCGTTTTATTAGTAAAGTAAAATCTTTAATATATTTGAATTAACGTGATATGTATTATTACATAATTTGTAAGTATTTAGTATGTTAAATGCATAGAAAAATGATTGCTATGTTTTATAAAGCTATGTACATGTACTGATGATTATATTTTCTGTTAATAAAAACGTAAAAGCATATTGCTTTTTTTATTAAAATCTATTCAAGTAAATAATTTATAAAAACTGTTGTATAAAAACTTTTATTAATAAAGATTGAAAATGCAAATTAGCAACTGTTCTGAAATAGAATATATCAATAAAAGTAAAATTTCAACAAAAACTTTTATACGCCTACGTATAAAGGTAATAATAGTTAAATTTTTACTTTTAATTATGAAAGTTAACTGTTTTATTCGGCTTCTGAATGATATAAACCGACGGAACTATAAAATAGTAAAACAACTACAATATAGTTTAAAAAATTTCAAACTGCACGCTAACCATAGTTATACAAACTTATATGAATTAGAATTTTGTTTTCGCTTTAAGCTTAGGATTTAAATCCAGTTTTTAATATATTATTGTTTTATTATTATTATTTTCTTTATTGTTTTAGAATAAATGTCAATAATTAGTTAGAGTGTTAGTTTTCTTAAAATAAACATTATTTCTTTATTATTTTTACCTATACATATTTTCTCATGCACAGATGTGGATGATTTCATCAAAACCAACGCAAAACTGGCCAAATTTACTCGGTTACTGTACTTCCATATTGATTCCTAATACAAAAATTATTGTACTCTCTAACCCTAAAGCTTCTCTAAAGAATATTTTATTTTTTGAAGTTACAGAAACGGCCCTATGATAGCTTGAAATTTACACCATACCTCTCTGAATTGCTTTCTGTCTTTACACTCCAGAATTTAGGAACTTAAATTTCAATGAATCCTGATACTCCATCTTAAATTATCATTCTATATATTTTATTATAACTTTTGAATTTTTTTAAATTATATTTATCATCTTAATGTTTAATAAATATCTGTTCTATAAAACATTACCTTCTGATTCAGCTTACTTAGTTACAGTTATTACAAACAACAAAAGTAATTTTTTATATATTTAGTCTAAAGGCCATACTCTGAACTAAAATTCAAGCAAAGGTTCTAGGGAAGAAGTTATAATACCTCCTGTGCAAGATAAAAAAAAAATATTTGTTTCTTCTTATTCCTCGTTTTTCCAATTTCCAACTGTCATGTCCGGTGATAAAACAAGGAAATCGTTGGTTCTCCTAAGATCCTAGAGTGCCCCGTAGCGTTTGTTTTCAAACGATCTTAGCACGGGCCATATCTTCCAGTCTCCTGTACAGTTTGGTCTCAATTGATTCCAGCCTAGGCCATATCTTCCTTCAAGCCTTATCAAGAAGGACACAGCTGTGAAGAACATGCACAGCTGTTTGTCTCACCTTTCACAAACACGAGGAATTGTTCAAATGTCTGAATATTTTGTTAAGGTTAACATTTAGTCTGTTGTTTCGGAATCAGGATGGTTAGTTTATGCAAAGACATTATTCTTTATTATTAAGGAAAAATTGATCACCAATTTATAGTCAAATTTATAATGAGAGGCGAGCTGCCTAGATGGAAGATAGAAGATGTCTCCCTTTCCCCACTTATTGTCTTTTCCTAGATGGCAATTAATTTGATTGATGATTTACCATTGTTTTTTCAGTCACAGAAAAATAATATTGATTGTTAAGTTAAGAATCGTCTTTTTTAGGTCACTGAAACGACTAACGACTAAAAATCTATTAGTTATTCATAATCAATATTTTAGTTATTATACATGAATAGATTTTTTTTTTCAACTTTCGATATAAATTAAAGTAACGAAACTGACATGTCAGGCATGGGGAAGGATAGCACCCAGCAGTAACTCTTCCCTGGCTTGAACCAATTACGATGGTTTGTGAAGGAAGGAGGTCTCTCATCCAGAACCTTTTTAGTCTCCTCCAAGGGCGGATCTATGGCTTGAAGGGGGAAGGGGTTGTCGGGCTAAAGCCTCCCCCCTCCAAAATGGTAAAATATAACCATGTTTTATGGGAAAATATATTGAAAAATTATCTCTTAAAGTATTATTGTTCGTGTAATTACATTTAAAAGGACTTAAGGAATCACTTAAACACCATTTCATAAAGATAGTTAGTTTCATTCTTTTTTTCCAAAGTAATTATAGTCATTTTTATGAAAAAAAAAGCTTTTTGACTAAAGCCCTCCAAAATTAAATCGTAGATCCGCTATATCTCTGATTAGTATAATAGTATGTCCAGGTAAATTATTGTGAAATTGTAAAGAGTTCTTATGGTCAACTGGAGATAGAAGCATGTCTACATGTAAGGTTTAGTTTGTCAGATATCTAGGTGCTTTAGTTATAAATCGTTATATTTTTTATTGGAAAGTTTGAAGTTTGTGTAAGTGGTCTTTTTAGATATACCGTATATTTTTATAAGAAATTAGAAGCAAAACTTATATCATAAGTGGAAAAACCCGTAACTATAAAGCGATGAGTCTCTAACGTACAAGTGAACAGTTACGAGATTCATTGCTTTATAGTTTTGGGCTTTTCCATTTATCCAACATAATTTGTGTTTCTTTTCGAGTTTTATACTTTATTTAATAAAATCTACATCTTAATACAGTTTCTTAAATTGATTTTAATTCTTTACGTATTATTATTTTATTTTATTTTGGTTCATTTGTGACTTATTGTCACTACATTTGTGATAGAGCGTCTTCAGTCTTCATTAGGGATTCGATATCATTAAGGTTGCTCTATGTCGGAATTGTAATGAGCATTGAAATAATTAAAGTAACATCATCGATATTTAATGATCTATTATTTTATACTATAATAATATTTAGACAAACTAAGTTCATGTGGATTGGAAGCCTATCAAAACATATTATTCCCTTGTAGGTACAGCGCAAATTATTTTTTTTGAAATGGTAGAGCGAGTGCTAGAGGGTTAATGTACGAGTTCGGTAAAACCATACACACTTGATCTGTAAAATAAATATAAAAACTTAATTTTTATATATTTTTTCTCATTAACATTTCCATGTTGGGTGCTATGTTGCAACTCTTTTAAAGTTAACTGGACGTTAGTCGACAGTAAAATATATAAGAGAGCTTCTTGGTTAAATTTGTAGTTTTAAAACCTAAATATCTGTATACATGACAAAATTAAGCTACAAAAGAGATCATTTCAATCAACATCCCTACATCAAGCCTGTATGCGTGTGTTATAAAGATCGTTCGTTATGCAGTAGTCATT